ATCAAGAGCCACATGCTCCGCTGACTGCTCCAGCCCGGTGTCCCAGAATTTCCTTGAAGACTAAATAATATTCCTTTGTGTTTATAGATCACATTTTGTTTATCCATTTCTCTTTTAATGGACACTTGGGTTGCTTCCATCTTTTGGCTATTGAAAGTAATGCCACTATGAACATGGGTGTACAAATACCTGTTGGAGTCCCTATGTCCTGTTCTCTTGGACCTGTACCCAGAAGTGGAATTACAGGATCAAGTGGAAATTCTGTTTTTAATTTTTTGAGGACCCTCCATACTGTTTCTTATAACTGCTGCACTGTTTTACATTCCCACCAACAGTGCACAGGGCTTCTGTTTCTCCACATCTTTGTCAACACTTGTTATTCTGTTTTGTTTTGTTTTGTTTTTTTGATAGTAGTTATCCTAATGAGTGTGAGGTGATATTTCATTATGGTTTTGATTTGTATCTCCCTAATGTTTAGCTATGCTGAACATCTTTTCATAAGCTTGTCGGCTGTTTGTATATCATTTTGGAGAAATGTCGGTTCAAGTCCTTTGCCCATCTTTTATTTGGGTTATTTGGTTTTTCTTTTTCTTTCTTTTTTTTTTTAAGATTTTATTTATTTATTAGAGAGAAAGAACGAATGGGGAGAGGGGCAGAGGGAGAGGAAGAAGCAAACTCCTTGCTCAGTAGGGAGCCCCTTGTGGGACTCAGTCCTAGGACCCTGGGGATCATGACATGAGCCAAAGGCAGACACTTAACTGACTGAGCCACCCAGGTGCCCCCATTTGGATTTTTCTTGTTCCCTGTTTTTATTTTTAAATTATTAATTTTAGATAGAGTATTGACTCTCTACTAAGAAACATTTTGAAAATAAAATTTCTCCACATCTTGATTTTTCTTAGAAATTTTTACATTCTAAAAGTTTGTAACATTGTTCTCTTCTTTAACTTACAAATTTCTGTTTAAAGCAATTGTTTTTTTTTTTTTTTTTAAGATTTTATTTATTTATTTGACAGAGAGAGATCACAAGTAGGCAGAGAGGCAGGCAGAGAGAGAGGAGGAAGCAGGCTCCCTGCTGAGCAGAGAGCCCGATGCGGGACTCAATCCCAGGACCCTGAGATCATGACCTGAGCCGAAGGCAGCGGCTTAACCCACTGAGCCACCCAGGCGCCCAGTTTAAAGCAATTGTTAAAAGCATTTATGAGTTGCCGAACTGGCTTAGTTGGTGGAGTGTGTGACCTTGATCTTGGGGTTGTGAGTTTAAGCCCCATGTTGGGTGTAGAGACTACTCAAAAATAAAGTCTGGTGCAACTGGCTGGTTCAGTTGGTTAAACATCTGACTTCAGCTCAGATCATGATCCTCCAGGTCCTGGAATCAAGCCCTGCATTGGACTCCCACACTCAGCAGGGAGTCTGATTGTCCCTTTCCCTTTGTTGCTCCCTACCCCCAACTGGTGCACGCACGTGTGCTCTCTCTCTCTCAAATAAATAAATAAAATCTTTTAAAAACAAAACAAAACAAATTTAAAATGAATGCTTATGTAGGTATTAAGTACTTAAAGAGCCAAGTAGTATGATCAGATGCTTAAAGAAGGAAAAGTAATCTTGCATAAATAAAACTTTTCTCTTTTAAAGGTTCCTCTTAACTTTGTTGTTTGGGGCTGGTACGTTTTCTTCACCACTTTTATTTCATCTGTTTTCAGTCATCTGGGATTTTTACTTTCTGGTCCACTGCTGGTGCCTTTTCTGACTTCTAAGACTTAGATAATTTGGCATTTCAGTTTTCTTCTCTCTCTTTCTTTTTTTAAAGATTTTATTTATTTATTTAACAGAGATCACAAGTAGGCAGAGAAGCAGGCAGAGTGAAGAGGAAGCAGGCTCCCTGCTGAGCAGAGAGCCCAATGCGGGGCTCTATCCCAGGACACTGGAATCATGACCCAAGCTGAAGGCAGAGGTTTTAACCCACTGAGCCACCCAGGCGCCCCGCCATTTCAGTTTTCTGAAGTTCCATGGTCCCTTCGAATGAAGAGATACAGATGTGTGTTCCCTCTGCCATATTAAACCAGAGGCATTTGTTGCTTTTGTGTGTTGCTTTTAAAAGGTTAGTTGGGGAGGGGATGGGTCAGAGCACAGTGTCCACCCCAGGTGTCATTAGATTTGGATTTGAATTCATATTCTATTTTTTTTTAAAGATTTTATTTATCTGACAGAGATCACAAGTAGGCAGAGAGGTAGGCAGAAAGAGAAGCAGACTCCCCGCCGAGCAGAGAGCCAGATGTGGAGCTCGATCCAGGACCCTGGGACCATGACCTGAGCTGAAAGCAGAGGCTTTAACCCACTGAGCCACCCAGGTGCCCCCATAGTCTATATTTTAACTGGGAGAGACTGGCAAATATTCCTTTGTGCTTTGCTTTTTAAATCTGTAAAATAGGTTTAGTCTGTCTAGTTTGACAGTTATTGTGAATGTCATATAAGATACAGTTTGTTTAGATACCTGGACCACATTCAGTATTCTATGAATGCTTATAGCAAAGGAAACATAAACCGGGATAGTACCCTGTCAAAAGTGTGTTTTCTGGAAGATGGTTTTCTCCTAGAGAGTATTTCTTCTACAGTCCGTTAAGAAACGTTTAAGTCCTTATGATGTTAATAGTTATGTGAATCTGTGAAACAGTATGAGAATTCTTATCTTCCAGTTGTGTACGATTTAGTTGAGGATGTGTCACCAGTGTATGAGTTAAATAACAGAAGATGGAACATAGGATACATGTTGGACAGGTTTAGAAATGTAGACCATTGGGCTTGTGTGGTTGAAAAAGGTTTAATGGAAGTTCATGTTGAAATACCAGTTAAAGAATTGATCCCCACCTCCCCATATAAACTGGGCCTTGAACTGAGGAAAGGTCAGAATTAAAACTTGGATCATCAAGGTCTTCTGTGTGAAGGTCATGAGTAAACCAGATGTCTGTCGTAGAGTATATGTGTTGGGGATGGGTTCAATTTGAGAATAGAACCAGATTATTAAAAAACTTAAATACCACACACAGAGAGCTGGAATTACAGATTTAAGAGACCCACTACATAGAGATAGTAGTTAAAACACTGAATGTGAATTAGGTTTAGAGAGAAAGAAAGAGTGACAGAGGATGAATGTGAGAGAGGGTGTAAAGAGTATCTTGTGATTGACGACCGAAAGAGACTAGAGTTCAGAAAAGCAGACAGAGAACCAGGGTGGCATAGTATTATGAAAGCCAAGGCAAGAGGGTTCTCAGAGGCAGGGGCAGAAAGTTCTGAGTTGCTTAGAATGATTCTCAAGAAAAGGCCAGTCAGTTTCCATGCTCAGCTCTCTGCTTACCTTTGACAGCCCCTAAAGACTATAGTTTTTTTTAACTTTTTTACAGATGACTTAAAATTCTAAACTCCTTATTTCCTTCTCTGTGCTCTGTGTTCAAGCTACCCATGTGTGTTCACAGTTCTTCCTTTCTTCCGTGAATATTTCTCAAGAATACATTCTGTGGGGCACCTGGGTGGCTCAGTAGGTTAAGCCTCTGCCTTCAGCTTGGGTCATGGTCTCAGGGTCCTGGGATTGAGCCCTGCATTGGACTCTCTGCTTGGCAAGGAGCCTGCTTCCCCCTTTCTCTGCCTTCCTCTCTGCCTACTTGTGATCTCTCTCTCTGTCAAATAAATAAATAAAATCTCAAAAAAAAAAAAAAAAGAAAAGAATCCATTCTGTGCTAAGCACTGGGTCTAGGCACTGTGTTGGCCACTAGGAATATAATGAACAAAACAAAATCCCTACTTTCATCAAACTTATATTCTAGCTGGGGTAGATGGTAGACTATAAACATTGGTTTACCCGTTGAAGTAGTAGAAGAGGTTGGTCGGAGAGGTAGCCAGCGCCTGGTAGACCCTACTAGGGACTGTTACTCTGCATGAGAGACAAAGACATTTGAAGAGTTTAAAACAGGAAAGATGTGAACTGTATTAACTCTGTAAAACTCTTAGAACAGTTTGACACCTAGAGATCTTTGTAAGTGTTTGTTAAATTAGAGTCTTTCAGGCTATCTGACTTAACATTTGAAAGGATACTGTGGCTGGCTACTGGGCCTAGACTAGATCATAGGGAGCCTTCTCGTGGCTCCTTGTAGGAAACCCCAGGCCTCCTGTTGCGATTTCAGGCTTCACAGTGAGTAGCTGCTAGGTAGATTTATTTGAATACTGTTGCTTATCTAACACTAAAACAAACATAAATACACTTTTATGTCTATTCCTATGTTTTCTGCATATCTACCTTAAAACATTAGTCATATTATAAAACCAATTGGGACAAATGGGAGTTCTTTGGGAAAAGGTGAAAATGAAGGTGTGAAGTCTAAAAATCATGCCATACAAAGAATGGATGACAGTCTCATGGATGGTTAATCTGTGGAAGTGGGGGCTGAGGAAGAGGACATGACAGAGCTTTGTCCAGTTATTGAAGAGCCATCTCTTAGACGAAGGATAGACTTCTTAGGGAGAGGAGATCTGGAGTCAGCGATTAGAACAGATTTCAATTATATATAAGGCAGAAACTAATCAATAACTGAGCTGTTCATCTGTGGAGTGCAGTGCCTCACAGAAGAGTGTGCTCCTGAAAACTAATATTAAAGCAAAGTGGGACGACCGTCAGAGCAGTTAAGGTGGGCTTCCTGAAGGAGGAGGGAGATTGAATTGAAGTTTCTCACAAATCCACTATTTTTATTTTTTATTTTAAAATGTTTAATTTAAATTCAATTTAGTTAACATTCTACTCTTTTTATTTTTGAAATTATTGATATGGGTTTTTCTTTTTTTCTTCTTTTTTTTTTTTTTACTTTACAGAGATCGTCTACCGGAAGCAATGCAATGATACACACTCACAAAATATCTGACGTCCTTCAGATTGCCAGGCATTCAGTAGTATGTAGAACATCATTAGTTTCAGTTATCTTCAAACTTAAAACTCTTTTTCTTTTTCAGAGATATCATGATAACACATTTTGAACCTTCAATCTCCTTCGAGGGCCTTTGCAGTGAGGTTCGAGATATGTGTTCCTTTGACAATGAACAGCTTTTCACCATGAAATGGATAGACGAGGAAGGTGAGTGATAAAGAGAGGGTGTATGCATTTGATCTAAGATACTATTTTATCATTTATTTTTAAAATATAGTAAAAGTCCTAATTTATTAGGACTGTTAGGTAAATTAGAAATTTGATGCCATTTTTATTTTGCTTCAGGTACTTAAAAGACTATCACTAAAGGGGACAGTCTTTGTTTTGTCCTTTTTAACTCCAAAAAAAATGAGAAATTAATGTGACTATCTTCCCCCATTAACATAAACATCAAATAGTATTATATTTTACTTTAATTTTGAATATGAATGTTGTTTTATACTTTAGAGATTACTGTCAATAATTTGGCAGTATTTTTTGCTGAATATTCCTTCAAAGAAAATGTTACAGAATAAAAGTGATTGTGACACTATGATTTCAAAGATGGTGGCATTGATACCTTAATGACTTGGACTCAGAAAACATTTATTGAATATCTATGTACTAAAAGTAGATATTTTCTGCTCTTAAAGTCAATGTCTCATTGGGAGATGGACATGTAAATAACAAATGTGGTGAGTTGAACATATTGCTTAGGGATCTTGGAATGCAAAAGAAGTAGCATGTCCATGTGCCCGAAATATTTGTGACATTTGGACTAAAATAGTAACAGAGTAAAAGTTTTTGAAGTGGTGGAGGTGAGGGGAAAACCATTTTTGACAAAGAATAAGATAGAAAAAGGACAGAGGTATGAAGAACATGGTGTGTGTGGAAGAGCGGTAATTCACTAAATTAATGTGTGGGGGAATGGTGTGGTTCAGGACTAGATCCTTGCTCCTGAGTGTGGTCTGCAGAACTTTTAGAAAAGGCTCATCACAGACTCCTGGATCCGAATCTATATTTTAACAGGAACTACAGGTAAGTAACATGAATATTAAACTTGTCGAAGCTTAGGGTTGACTCAATCCTGGAAGGCTTTGCAAACCACATTAGACTTTATTTTACATGATAGAATGTCACTGAAGTATAGCTTAAAGATACCCTAAATATACTAGCTTTGTATTATGGCCCTCTATTAATTGTAATGAGAATGAAATTCTTTTTAAGGAAAGTCGTTATAATATGTAGTTCAATATTTGGGGCCATTTCTAGGTTTCCTGATAGGAAGAGCCCTGGAAAGATATTATCCTAGATCCAAGTTGTACATAAACTCAAAATCTATTTTTACTTTTTAAACACATTTTTAAAAAAAGTTTTATGTATCTAATCTCTGTGCCCAATGTGGGGATAGAACTCATGACCCCAAGATCAAGAATCACATGTTCCTCCCAGCTGAGCCAGCGAGGCACCCCTTTAAAGACATTTTTAAAACTTTCTCTAAAGTAATCCATATTTGCTGTTTGGGAAAAAAAGTAGCACAGGTGTTTTGAAATTTTGAAAGAAGGCTTCTCTTTGCCCTTTCTCTTCTTTCCTTCCTCATCAGTTCCAGCCATAAGAGAGAAAAACCACGGTAACAGCTAGTATATATCCTTCAAGATATTTTCTCTGTATATACAAATATGTTTGTTTCTGTACATTATTTATAAGTGTACTTTTTTTTTTTAAAGATTTTATTTATTTATTTGACAGAAATCACAAGTAGGCAGAGAGGCAGGCAGGGAGAGAGGGGGAAGCAGGCTCCCTGCTGAGCAGAGAGCCCGATACGGGGCTCCATCCCAGGACCCTGAGATCATGACCTGAGCCGAAGGCAGAGGCTTTAACCCACTGAGCCACCCAGGCGCCCCTATAAGTGTACTTTTTTAATACAAAAAGAATTTAATCACATAAATCATTAAATGATATTTCCCTTTTATGTTGTGAATTGGACATTTTTCATTTCAGCGTGAATAAAATTACACCATTACTTTTTTTTTTTAAAGAATTTTATTTTTTTAAAGTAATCTCTGTGTTCAAACCCCAAAGTGGGGCTTGAACTCACAACCCCAAAATCAAGAGTCACATGCTCCACTGACTGAGCCAGCCAGGCACCCCTACAGCATTACTTTTTTAAGTGCTGTATAATATACCACATCATTGTAGATATTTCATGGTTTATTTAATCCCTTATTGGTGGATGTTTGGACTACTTCCAGGTTTGGTTTTTTTTTTTTTTTTTTTTTTTGCTACTATAAGCAATACATAATGAACATCTTTATATGAAATTTTGTGCAATTGTATGGGACTTTGTGTAGCAAATACATAGAATATGCACATCATAAATTTTGGTAGCTAGGGACAATTTTGCATTCAAAACAAGTTTAAACCAATTTATGGCACAGTTACATTGAATGAGAGCATGCCTTTGCTCTTACCCTTACTAACCTCAGATATTATGAGTCTTAACATTTTTTGAAGTCTAGTAAGGGAAATACTAGCTTGGTATTTTAAATTCTGTATTATTTAAGGACAAGTCTATCTCTATCTATTCATCCATTTTTGACCACAAGGCTAGTTTAAGTATTGTTAATTCTAAATGGTGTGGATATCTCACAGTATATCTTCAGCCTAAATATGAGACTATATAATTTAGCACAGTATATACAATATAGTTAGCATCAATAAATTGATTCTTATCATGAGCTAATGTTATTCTCATTGTTTTTGTTTTTTTTTTTAAGTAAACTCTATGCCTAATATGGGGCTTGAGCTCACAAGCCTGAGATCAGGAGTCTTATGCTCTACCAACTGAGCAAGCCGGGCACCCCAATGTTATTCTCATTTTAATCCTATCCTGATCATTTCATGCCATTTATTTCCCATTTGGGATTTTTTTTCAATTGGTGGTTTTCAAACTAGTGCACATAGGAATCATAGATAATGCATTTTATTAAATTGATTTAGAGATAACCCATTAAAAATTGTTATAGTATTTGGGGTGCGTGAGTGGCTCAGTTAAGCATCCAACTCTTAATTTCATCTCAGATCATGATCTTGGGGTTGTGAGATCAAGTCCCAGGTCAGGCATGGAGCCTGCTTAAGATTCTCTCTCCCTCTCCCCCTCCCCCTATCTCTCTCACCCTCTCTGAAATAAAGTAAAATAAAATGAAACAAAATTTTACAGTACTCTTATACTTTGTATTGTCTTTACCTGGGAAGCTCTGTTCCCACATTGTTATATGGCTATCTCTTTCCTGTCCTTCAGGTTACTCAAATGTCCTGTCCTCCAAGAAGCCTTTCACTTCCTGTTCACTTTGAATCTCATTTTATGGTAGAATGGAAGCTCCATGAGAACAGAGATCTTGTCTTTGCCTTGGAGCTCCAGTGCCTAGAGCAGTACTCAATAATAGTGTGCTCGAAAAACATTTATGAGTTGTAGAAAAGGCTAAAAGCAAGGCTGTCCTGTAGTTTTATGTACATTATTGAAGATTTAAGTGTTGGGAGTTGTGGTTTATTCTATTTTTTCTTAACATTATAGGATATTTTAATTAACAGATTCATGTAGTAAATTAAATTAATTCTCTGGTGAAACAGTCTTATCCTTTTATAATGCAATTCAAAGTTCTTTGTCTCTAAATAGCTATTAAATGTCCTAATTTTCTGGGGAGAACTGTAAAACTATAGCCTCATTCAAGTAAAAGGTGAAACTTTCTATTAAAGTCTGCTGTTTCCTATGTGATCCTTGTTACCCTGGTTAATTTTGATAACAGTCTCTTCTTAATTTTAAGCATATAGAGCCAGTAGTAATTATTTTTAAGTTTGTTACAATTATTTTTCAGTTTTAATTTTGTTACCTTTATTTTTAGCCAGGTAGGCCATCAGGGGTGCTTATCTAGAGAAAAAATTCTCTTCAGAATCAGTGGGACACAGGACTATGATTTCTCTGGTTTATGAGCAACACTGTCTAGAAGCTAAGCTTTTAACTGTGTTGTTTTTTCTGTTAGAACAAATAATGATCACAAGCTTACTTCATTTCTTAAAGTAGATCTATGACAGCCATCCTTTTTCCTTGTGTTCAAAACCAGTTTTACTGATTTGTTTTGATGTGTCTGTGGAAAAACTGGTTTGCTTAATCTAACTAAACATTTTAGAATGAATAGTAATTTTGTAACAATTATACCTCCCTTCTCATGTGAGGAGAGAATATGGGACAGAGAATGATAAATGACTTTTTAGTTCATCAAACTTTAATTGTGACTGTTTTTCCTTAAGGATATGCTTTTTTATATTCACAATCTAATATTAAGTATTTTCTAAATTTCTGATTCATTCAGAATCTGATTACCAGGTTTATATTTAACTGCTTCTAGTCTGTCACTTCTCTTTTATTAGAAACTAACCTTTGGGTATTTTATTTCTTAGTTAAGTTTTTATTAAGAGTGGTGCTTGCTTTTTAACAAAAATATTGATCTGTTTGAAGGAAAAAGTATCTTTGAGGATCCTCAGAACCTGAGATCTTTCCTATAAACAAATTAATGATGTCTTTTTTGGTGAATATACAACTAGAAGGGATTGGGTAACAGTTTTTTCCTTTCTTACAAATAGCCAAATATTGTACAGGCTATTATTTAACCCGCCTTTTCACTTAACATCGTGTGGATTATCTTTCCATATCAATGTATGTAGAATTATATAACGTGGTTTATATGATGTTTATATAACTTAACCAATCCCCCTTTGATGGATATTTGGATTATTTTGTAGTGTATAAAAAATATTAGTGCAGAGACTATCTTTGTACATAATTTTTTTTTGGGAAACCTGTACTATATTACTTATAGGGTGAATTCCTTGAAATGGAAAGTGTCCTTGAAAATAGGTGGTACCAAATTGACCTCCAAAAATATTCTGCCTTTTGTTTTACTTTTCACCAATAACACATGTAAGTTATTATTTTATTATTATTCATATTTAAAAGGCCACCTAGGCATACTTCAGTCAGTTAAGCATCTGCCTTTGGCTTGGGTTATGATCCCAGAGTCCAGGGGTGGAGCCCCATGTTGAGCTTCCAGCTCAGTGGGGAGTCTGCTTGTCCCTCTCCCTCTGCTGTTCCCCCTGCTTGTGCGCTCTTA